GCTGGGCTCCGGCGATCCCTTCCGCCTCAGCCCTTCAAGTAGCCGGAATTACAGGCATGCGCTACCCCGCCCGGCTGATTTTTTGATTTATTGTAGAGATGAGGTCTTGCTGCCCAGGCAGGTCATTTATCTTTAGGAATGTAGTGACTCAGGCAAAAGTCGAGGGGCCCATGTGCTCTGTTTTGTTTCCAAGGCCGCCTTCCAGAGAACAGCATTTCATCACAGAATCAGAGGCTCAAGCAGAAATAAGCAAACATGACTTCTTACATTTCCTATTCTGTCTCGCATCCTCTAGTTAAGTCATTTCTCTGAGTATCAGATCTTCCATTTTGTCTTCCAAATTTCTTTTAGCCAATAGTTGCCTTATTTTTATCTATACAAACATGGTGTGGTCTTTCCACCTAAAACCCTCAGCCCCCTCCTTTCTGTCCCTGCTTGACCCCATATTCCCTTCCAGCTACTGCCTCATATGTTCATTTTTCTTATGTTAAAACTTTTTTTAAAAGTCTTAGAAAATGACTCGTTTTGTATATCAGAAGCTCAGATTTCAGCAGTGTCATGTGCCTGACCTAATGAACGCTACATTCCTTGTCTCCTGTTTTCAGTTTAATCTGACTACTGATCCAGTCATGCCATTAAAACTACTCTTGACAAGGTGTCAACGTCTTCGATATTGCCAAAACCAAAAGACCTTTCTTGACCTTCCTCTGGGCTCCATTGGCCACTTCCTCCTGAAACACCCACCACTTCCTGCCCACTCCATCTGTTCCGTTGGTTTGTTCTAAAGAGCAGATTACCTTGGGTCTTGGACCTAGGTCCCCTGCTCGTCTCTTTCCACACTGTCTTCCTAGGTAATTCCATTTACTCCCATGATTTTATTTATTTGTTTGTTTATTTTGAGTCAGAGTCTCACACTGTCGCCTAGGCTGGAGTGCAGTGGCATGCTCGGGGCCACTGCAGCCTCGACCTGCTGGGCTTAGATGATCCTTCTGCCTGAGCCTTCCAAGTAGCTGGAACTACAGGCACACGCCATCATGCCGGGCTCATTGTTTTAAAAAATTTATTGTAGAGACAAGGTCTCGCCAAGTTGCCCAGGCTGGTCTCAAACCCCTGGGCTCAGGCAATTATCTCACCTCTATCTACCAAAGTGCTGGGATTATAAGTGTGAGCCACTGTGCCCGGTACTCCCATGATTTTAAGTTGTATCTCTGTGCTGCTTACTGCCAGATTTATTTCTTAAATTCCAGCCCTTTTTCAGAACTTCTGTTCAACTTGACTTTTCCCTTGGACATCCCTTAGCATCTCACAGTTCACATGCCCCAAGTAAAGTATTTGATTTCCACCCACAGCCTGTTTCTGCTCCAGTGTTCCCCATGTCAGTAAGTAGCATAAGGAAGCAGCTTTGGCTTCATCTTTGAATTTTCCCTTATCCCCTTTATGTCGACTCCATCAGCAAGTTTTATTCCAGTTCCCTTGAAACAGGCGTCTCCAGCTGGCCTACCTGTTTCTGTCTCTGTGGCCCCCACCACTGGCGTCTCTCATTCTGAACTACGACACTGGGGTCTTTATGCTCACTTTTTTTTTTGAG